AAAAGAAGTGACGTTTTCCAGCCATTTAATCAGAAATACCTACCTACTTGAATTCTGCCAAAACTTCAGGCAGAAAGTTTACGAAAGTTTATAAAACAACACACACGTTTCACGTTTTTAAAAGTTCCTTTTAGCCAAATTGATTACAAAGCCGGAAGCTTGGAAGAAGGGAGGAAAATGGGATGGCTTTTTTTTTTTTAACCGTTTCTACACCAGTGTTTGGTTTGGGGGACAATCTGCACATAATGCAAACTGAATCCTCCCAGGTACAGGAGAAATATTTGAAATAATACCCCCAGCAAGAACAAGTTTGGGAAGATAAAATAAGCAAATAAATCGGTGGAAGACTGTCTTAGTTCAGGAGGGCAGAAATATTGGAGAGTAAATTAACCATGCACTCAGACAGTGGAATTGTGCACATCTGACTGTACAAACTTGTTTTTTAAGACAAGGATAATACTACTAACCCTTGTATAATGTGCTGATTGTACAAAGAGCTATCCTGTTATTTCTAGGTTGGATGCAGAAAATTGAAACGCTCTTTCCTAATGTGAAAGGTGGAAGCGTGTCCTTTGCACGATTTCTTTGAACAACCGTATCAGGCTACACCAGAATGATTTGTTTTCCTACAAGTTTCTGGGGATGCCCAAAACTCACTCTAACCTGGACTTGCAACAGGTAGAAACTTGGCCAGAGGCAGCAGCTGTGTCCGCAAAGCCACTTCAGAAAAACTGTACCAGGTCAGATCAGCAAGTCTCTTTCTGGCCTCTATTCCAGAAGTGGTATATTCAGCAGGTTCTGACCAGTTCTGGAGAACCGGTAGTGGAAATTTTGAGTAGTTTGGAAAACCAGCAAATCCCGCCTCTGACTGGCCCCACCAACCTCATCTATTCTCTGCCTCCCATTGAGTCCCAGCTGATCATTGGCTGGGTCTTCTTTGGTTGCCCTGCACAGGAGAACGGAGCTGGAAAGCAGGTTAGTGGGGTGGGGTGGGGAGGGAAGGAGGATTTTGCAGTATCCTTCCCCTGCCATGCCCACCAAGCTACGCCCACCAAGCCACGCCCACAGAACTGGTAGTAAAAAAAATTGAATCCCACCACTGCTCTATTCGGGTTTGAAGGAATAGCCTCTGCGCCATTCTGCAGCACAGATGTGCCCCAACTGTTCTAACTGCCCCTTCGCATACAGGTAAGTCCTTGATTTACAACAATTCATTTAGTGACCGTTCAAAGTTACAACGGCACTGAAAAATGTGACAATTAACCAGTGGAATCAGAAGTTGCCTTCAAGTGCTCCATCCCTGGAGCTTTTTAAGAAGAAGCTGGACAGCCGCTTGTCTGAAATAGTACAAGGCCTCCTGCTTGGGCAGGGGGTTGGACTAGAAGACCTCCAAGGTCCCTTCCAGCTCTGTTCTGATTGATTGACTTAGGACTACTTTTCACACTTACAACCACTGCAGCATCCCCGTGGTCACATGAGCAAAATTCAGACTATTGGCAACTGGTTCATATTTATGACAGTCACAGCGTCCAGGGGCGGGGGGGTCCATGTGATCCCCTTTTGCAACCTTCTGACAAGCAAGGTCCATGGGGAAACCAGATTCGCTTAACAACCGTGTCACTAACATAAGCACTGCAGGGATTCACTTAACAGCGGTGGCCAGAAAAGTCATCAAATGGGGCAAAACTCAAATCACAAATCTTTCACTTAAGCAACATAAATTATGGGGCTGCATTGTGGTCATAAGTCGAGGACCATCAGTCCCCCCCACCCCACCCCAGCTTTCTCTGAAAGGAGCAACCCGGGTTTTGAGTCTAGCGACAATCCTAGCTGCCTTTTGCAGCTGCCGTAGGAACCGTCGTCCTCGAATCACCACCACAACTGGCAGCAGAATTTCCACTGCTGAGCAAAGGGGTTGTTAAAGTGAGTCACAGTTGATGTTGCAACCTTTTCTGCCGCCCTCGTTTAGCGAATCGCCACTCTTGTTAAGTGAAGCACTGCACTTGTTAAAAGGAATCTGGCTTCGTTCGCCAATTTTTCTTGTTGGAAACGGGCAAAAAATGGGGAAAAGTTGCAATCACGTTGATTACGTGACCTTGGGAAGGCTGCAACCCTTGTAAGGGCGAGGATCGGTTACAAATCCTATTTTTTCAGGGCTGTTATAACTTCGAACGGCCACGAAATGAATGGTTGTAAGTGAAGAACATCCTTTCTCTCTCTCTCTCTCTCTCTCTCTCTCTCTCTCTCTCTCTCTCTCTCT